AAAGAAAAGTCAGCCTTGTGTCAATAATCTAATTCCCAGTTGCCAGCCATCTTTCCCACTTCTCTGGGGTTAGGGGATGTGATGAGAAATAAGCCAGGTTGCGAAGTCCATTGTGGGGGTTGGGAGAGTCTAAGTGAGTAGGGGTCTTCTCAAAGGTCAGCCTCAGGACACATAATCACAGACATCCATTACTGAATGTTTGTGACTTCAGACAAATCCGTCCCCCTTTTTGAACTTCTGTTTCAGCTTTGCATATTTCCTTGTTAACACTATAGTTCCAACTCTGACCAAATTAAAAAGTTACTAATCGCGTAAAATCCACTTAGGGTTGACTGAATATAATCTATGAAATCATTAAAATATCTCCAGACACAGAAACACTAAATATAAATCATTCTCAGGCTAGGAGTTTTCCTTGCGAATGTTATTTGTTTATTCATTTATTTAGGAGGTATTTTGATCTTGGAGTTCTGCTTGTTTCAGATTATCAACTAAATAAAACTACCATGAGCTTGACAACCAAAGCATTGTTCTTAAAATCTGTGCAAATTCAGGTTATAACTATTATATAATTGTAAATAGTTCAGAAATACTGTTATGTTGTTGATAAAATTGACCCCTGCTTTTTAAGCCATACTACTGACAACAGAATTCAGAGAAAGCTTCCAGGGTGGGTTAAACCTGAACTGAAGTCAGGAAGCTAAGCGTCATTTCTAATAGAGGAAGCTGTGCATGAGCCAACAGGTGGATTTGGACTTCATGATCCTCGGAGACAGTGAGGGGAGGGTCTGGGAAGTGCTACTGCTAAGGAGTCTGTTAGGTTTTTCCACATAAGAAACTGAAAGCCATATATAAATATATATATGTATGTGTGTGTGTGTGTATACAACATTTGCCAGTATTACTCATAAACTACATAAATAAGAAACAGTGCTTGGTTTGGTTGAATGGCACCTTTAATTCTGCTTTCTTCTTAGTTTTTAAGGCCGAATTGTTGCCTGTGTACTTCTTGATGGTAAACTCAAAAATATTGTACGTCTGTGTCATGGCAGCCATTTTGCTCACCACGGCGGACTGCCCTCATTTCTGCCCTCACAGATGAATAAATTCCAAGACTAGGCTGCATGAAAGGCCTGAAAAAAACTAGAGAGATATTTTAAAGAGAGCAGTCATTTCAAGGGGATCAAAAGTGCCACCTGCACTGCCTATTTGCTCATCAAGACTGCCAGCAGGAGCAGGCAGTTGGCAGTTGATGTGCCTTCGTGTGCATCCAAGCTCCATTTCTGATTACATTTCCCTGCTGATGTGCACCCTGGGAGACCATGGATGATGGCTGAGGTACTCAGGTTTCTGCTTCCTTCATGAGAGACCTGAATTGAGTTCCTGGATCCTAGCTTTAATCTGATCCAGTTCTAGCAGCTGTAGATATTTAGGTAGTAAACCAGTGGATAAAAGATCTGTCTCTGATTTAACCTCTCTCTCTCTCTCTTTCTCTCTCTCTCTCCCTGTTTGTATTTCATTTGCTTTTTAGACAAATAAAAATAATTACATAAAAAATGTAAGAGCAGAAAAATTGGTAGTAGATCTTAGTAGGCTCACATCATTAAGAGCGTAGTGTTATTCATTATTCCAAACTCTCCATTTTGCCTTTTATTATAGCTGAAAAACCTTTTCCCCAGACATAAACAAAGGAGTACTGTGTAATCTCACTTGCATATGGAATCTGAAAAGTCAATCTTGCAGAAAGCAGAATGTAAATTTCCACTGTCCAGGGTAGGAGGATGTGGTGAGGAACAGAAGATGCTGACCAATGGCAACCAACTTGTTTCAGATGAACAGGTACTGAAGACCCGATGTGTTACCAGCAGTGACAAATGTGCTAACTAATCTGATTGAGGGAATCATTACACAACATATGTTTGTCTAATCATCACATTACACATCACGGATACATTCAATCTTTATTCTAGTAATCATTTTAAAAGAAAAAGTTTAAATTTCAAAATGTTTTTCATAAAGTCATTTATATTCAACCATTGTGAAAGAGCTTTCTCAGGAGTTTTACATTTTTAGGCTTAATTCTGGGCTCTTTAGCTCAAAGGAGTAGCAACGTAAGCAGTCCCAGTTTCAAGCTTATCCCCATGTCCCAGCCTATGGTTTGAAAACAACTAAAGAAAAAACATCTCTTCAAGACATCATTGTTATCACTAACCACAAATCATGCTGTTGTCCTGGATTTTTTCTTTCATGTCAGATACAGTCCAAAAAGTGTATCTGTCCTATAGCAGGAGGACTGCCATATCGCATGCTGTCTCTTACACCTTTCATTATTATTCCACCCCCAATTAAGATGTCTGCAGGAGATTCACATGATAGTCTGTTAGTGAGAGATCAAATACATGCAGCAGCTGTTTATTTGCAAACAGAAACTGTGATGAGCACACGATACAGAAAGATGGTTAATTTCTTATGCTTATTTCTTTCCATTTACATTAGGTTATTTACTGTTCTTTCCCCTTTACAATTCATCATGTGTGATAAATAGTCTTATTATTTTTCTCCATTATCCATTGCAATAGAAATAGCTGAAATGCTTCAAATAGCCAAGGAATAACACAATAGATAGCTCAAGTCTTTGGTAGTAATAGCATTAATAATAACAATAACAGCCGAATAAGTGCCAAGTCCTTAGTACGTACCAGGCACATCTCTGCAGATCTTATATACATCATGTATTATTCATAATACACCATGACATACGTGGGCAACATTATCTACACTCTCTGTCAGGTTACTTGGTAGCATTGTGATTATTTAAATCCAGACCTTCCTGACCACACAGAGCAGAAAGGAAGAAGGTAAAGTGAGATGAAATACAGAGAACAGTGAACAGAGAGAAGGGTGTTGAATAATGAAGTAGAACATCTTCAATCATTACTAATGCATTAAACAAATGTTTAATGAGTACCTAGGACAGGCTGGGTCTAGCATCTACTCCTAGGACAAGTTCCTTGTCTTCCTGAGGCATGTTTTCTCAGAACAACAGAATCTCTATAACAACCGTGGTCCTCCACTCACAAAGGCAATGATCAATGTGTGCCCAACTGTTGGAAACAGAGGGTGGAACCCTACCAAAGAAACTGAAGGTTTCCCAATTCAGATGCCTGGTGAGCAAAAACATAAACAATATATGAGCAGTCTCAAGCTGATTAAGGATGCAAAGGTACAGCAGGCAGGAGGCAAAGTAGGACAGCGTGGGATTGACTTAGCAGAGGAAAGGGATGGATGCTCAGAGAACTGAGAGCTCTGGGGGCTGCAAAGGAGGAAGCACGGGGAGTGTTGTCTCAGAACAGGTGGGCACATGGCTTTGTTATTTCTGGCTTTTTTTTTTCATTTTAATTGGTTCATTAAAATTGTAATATCTGGGGGTGCCATGTGAAATTTTAACACATGTATACCTTGGTAAACAGAAGAGACCTTTGGGAAGAAGTTGATTAATAGGTACTCTGCTATAGTAAAGAGGAAGAAATTCTTGTGTCCTGTTGCATAGCAGGGTGAGTATAGATAATGAAATACCAATCAAGAAAGGATCTTGATTGTTTTCACCATAAGAAGCTGCTCAGTGTCTGGGGAGGGAGCGTTCATACCATGTTAGGATATGTGTTAGCAGAGGGTACAAGAAGGGAGCTATCACTGGGAGGAGCCTGGTGAGAAGATATGATTCAGAGGGTTGACAGCTCACGTGACTGTTGTCTAAAACGTGGCATGCAAGGTTACCATAGGCCATTAAGTCATGGGAATTACTTCTTCAGCTGTTTTTATTATGACTATAGATTATGATCATCTTAGCATTATGATTATCATGTTTATATTGATGGAGAGCAGGATGACAGATGAGCAATCATGGTCTTTTATCAGAGCTGTGGGGTCCAAAAAGAAGCAGGAGAGAGTGGAGAGGGTGATGTGTCATTTCAGAGCTGGAGGCGGTGGCTGAAACACAAGGCAAGAAGCGCAAAGGCAGATGGGCTATTCCGTTTGATGCTAGCATGCCCTGGTGCTGCTTGTCAGACAAAAGGCTGAAGGATGAGATGAGAAAACAACGATAGCGTCATTACTCTCATCTCAGAAAATAAACATTTGATTCATGATACGTCAATCACTGAAACATAATTATAAATTCTGGCACATAGGTACAGTTAAATATCATCAGCATTCACGGCACCGTCGCTCCTTAGATCGATACACATTTTCTGTTGTGGAAAAAATGTGTAATTGCAGTCAAGCCCTCTTGATCTGGATGTTTCAAAGTAAACCAGACTAGAACTTGCCATCTATCAGATATTCACCTTGACTTAATTTCTCCCTACAGAAACACAAGAGAAAGAACTCTTTGTATCTGAAATCTGCCCACATTTTTTTGTCAAAAATATACTTCTACCACAGTATTTGTCCCATAGTAGCAGAATTAACTTAATAAGTTCTGAGTTTTAGTACTCTATGGAACACAATTTCTGGTAGAATAAAGGAGTCAAAAATATTATTTATACCCGGATTTTGTTCAGTCATCATTACATTAACAAAAAAAAAATTATCTTATTTCTAGTTTTCCACAACTTCGGCCCCTTGACACTCTGTCTGGATTATCACCCCCCAGTGTAAACACTGCAAATTTCACAGTGAAACATGAACCATGATCAAAAGGTAGGGATGAGCCAGCAAGGGAAGTTTTCCGGCAATATTTAGAGTGTAGTGTCATCACCAAAGCTACTATTGAAGTTCAGTGTGGACAAAAATTGTACATTCCTGTCAAGTCAGAATTCCTCGGCCAACTTTCTGTGGCTATGTGTAGGCTACACTTGCCCAAAACTGTGACTGGCTCACACAAAATTACATTGCCATGGCCATTCCTAGGGTTCTCACCTTCCTCCTTGCTATCCTTTAAAAGATGATTCCAAATGTTAACAAATAGGTAAATAGAAACCACAGATTTTTGAACTTACCATTTTTATCTGCTCTCCTCAGTATCTGGAAGGGAAAAAGGAAAAAAATTATCAATATTTTTGATAAATATTATTATGAACAGGATACTCACATCCACTTCATCCATTACTAAAGTAAAGGCATTTCAATTTTAACCAAACTTTCCCCAATCAATATTGGTATTATATTCAAAACCCCCAAATAACCCAATGTTCACCAAAAAGAGAACAGATATGGAAAGTTTGGCATATTGCTACAATGGAATACTGCTAGACATTTTTTAAAAAGGACTTATTAATAGATATACTAACTGGGAGTATTTATAATAATTCAAGTGATTAGAAAACCTATAGATGAAGCAGTGCCTAAAGAATGAGTCCACTTACATAAAGTAATAAAATACAAAATAATTACCGCAACAGTAAGTGGTAAGTATTGCCTAGAAACTGGTAGGGCAAGGAAGGAAGAAAAAAAAAAAAGATATGAGGAAACTTCCGGAATGATAACTATCATCTTGACTGTGATCATGGTTTTACTTATGTCAACATCATCAAATTTAAATTTAAATATGTACATGTTAATATAAGTCAACTATGCAGGTAAATAAAACTAATGACAAGATTGAAGGATAAAATGAGTACGTCTCAATAGAAAGAAGCTCATCTGTCTTTAATTTGCTGTGTGTGTGTATCATTAATGACACAATTAAACTTTTTACATTGCCTTTGACAGAGACGGACGGCTCAACCATCTGATAGTTGTTACATTTCTCTAATGATTTCTGGATTTCTGAGAAACGAATCTTTCTTCTGCTGTTGCTCCACATGGGCACAGACTTAGGCAAACCAGGTTTCCTATCCCTCTGGCCACAGCAGCTGCTCAGGGAAGAACACAGTAGGACCAGTGACTAACAGAGCGTGATTTTGCTGGGTTACTTAGAGTGAGCTGCATTTCCCCTTCTGCTAGGTTTGAATTGAAAAAGATCCTTGCAAGGAAATGGTATCAGCTCTTTCATGAATGTTATGTTGCAGGTTGAAATGTGTCCTGTAAAAACAAATGTTGAAGTCTTAAACTTCAGTATTTGTGAATGTAATGTCATCTGGAAATAAGATCTTTGCTGATGTGACCAAATTAAGATGAGGGACTGGTGCCAGCACGGTGGAATCCAAGTTAATACTCTGTTATGTGAGCATCCTGTATGGGTACCTATTTGTGTCCCAGCTGCTCCACTTTCAATCCAACTCCCTGCTTATGACCTGGGAAAGTAATGAAGGGTGGTCCAAAGCCTTGGGCCCCTGCACCCACCCGGGAGATCTGAAGGAAAACTCCTGCCTCCTGGCTTCATTGTGGGTTAGTTCTACTGTGGCTATATGGGGAGTGAACCAGTGGAGAGATCTCTCTTTGCCTATCTCTCGTTCTCACTATAAGTCTGCCTTTTCAATAAAAATAAGTAAATCTTTAAAAGAAAAAAAAATGAGGTGTTGCTAGAATGGGATAGTTCCTAAATCCAATAACTGGTACCCCATAAAGGCAAGAGCAAAACTGAGATGCACAGACAAAGGAAGGAGGCCTTATGGTGACAGAAACTCATTGGAGTAATGCAGTTACACACCAAGGAATAGCAGGGACTGACAGCTACCAGGACACACAACAAAAAAGGCATGAGACAGCTTCACCTCTGAGGCCTCAGATGGAACAGGAACCCATCACGGCTTTCATTCCTTCCATCTGGCCCCCAGAATTGAGAAAGAAAAATCTGTATTTTTAAAACACCCTGTTTTGTGGCAGTAGCTTGCTATGACAGCCCTAGAAATAACAGAATAATGGCATGGGCAGAACCATCTCAGGAAGCAGCATGAAGGACTCAGAGAAACTGGGCCTTTGGGGCACCAAGTCCCTGACCTAGTTATCCTGATGGTAAGATCTCTGTTTTTCAGTGCAGCAGCCAATCAAGCATTATTTTTAAATCCCAAAATAGCTTGGATTTTTTTTTTATTAGCTGCAATCTCATTAACGCTAACATGTATGTGTACATGTTTATGTATATGTATAGAAAAATCTGGATACTAAAACAATGAGAAACATACAGAGAACCAAAGAAAATTTCCCTCTATCATAACAATGACAAATGTTAGTCACTTACAAGCAGCCCTTGGGAATCACTTTCTCTGGAGTAACCTGTAATTATACTTAAATAACCAGAGCTATTCTGTTCAAACAGCATTTCTTAGAGGCAAGCATGAAACCTGGGCAACGCTTTTTAATTCCAGGTTGTCTGCTTCACTGGTTTCTACTACACAACATTACTTTCTTTTATTCTGAGAACTTCCTGGAAATGAGTTATGGCTAAATCCAATCACTACTGCTATCCTGTTTTTTAATCAAATACTAGCACTATCAAACTTTTCTAACATCAAATGAATATTGCCCTGACCAATGTGTGTAAGAAATTGGTCCTGATTTTTACTGAATTATTACTTTACAGGAAGGCTGAATTCAGTAGTAAGAACTATGATTAAAGCAAAATGAGACACCAAAGACTTATCCTCTAGCTAAGTAACTTCCAGGGGATGTATCAGGGAACTAACTCCACAGCACGACCAGCTGCTTGCACCCCAAACCAAGGGGCCCAACCGAAAGGAAAGAAGACACACAGCACAAGCCTTTTCTTACCGCAGACACACTCTTCCCATTTTATTTCAAGTTCTATGATGTCCTTGTGAGTTCCGGTCACTAGGAGAGCAAACTCTACACACTAGAGCACTGGACCCAGGACCAGTGACATTTCATTTCATAAAGGACAATCTGAAGTAGTACTCAGCATTTTAGAAATGAGATTAAGACAGCAGCTTGCGTTAATGAGACACTTATTGTAATTAAATACGAACACAACTGTCTCTGCTGGAAATTTTGCCTCTGAGCCCACAGACTAATAAAGAACATACTGCCGATCAGAGTTGAGTTCATTATATTATGTTACCACCGTAAACCAGGTCAGTCAATCTTACGGTTGTTATCACTAGAGGAAACAGCAAATGAATTTAAATATCATGGACAGGTTTCAAATTCAAATACAGATAATACTGAAGTTTCCATGCCATTTAAAGAGTAATGAAGACATTACTTTACCTCAAGAGACTACTTAAGAACACTTAAAAAAAAATTGAAGATGGGATGGCTATCACCTGGGTCACCCCCATTTCCCATCAGAGGGCAAGGATTCAAGTCAGGACTCTACTTGCACTTCCAGGTTCCTGCTAAGGTGCAGCCTGGGGGCAACAAGGGACCATTTAAACACCCGGGCCCTTCTACCACAGGAGAACTGGAGCTCCTTCATGAGCTCTTGCCTTCAATCTTACCCTGCCCAGGCTTCTGCGGCCATTTGGGAAGAATCAACAGACAGAAGTTCTTTCCACCTGACTGTCAAATCAAGTTAACTCAAATCAAATGTTTAATGAAACCCAGAAAAATTACATTCCCTAACATTAAAACAAACAAACAAAAAATGTTCCTTTGATGGCTTTGACTAAAATTCCTTACCATAAACTATCAAATGGCAGGCATGAAAGTGTAAATGTTAACCCCAAATGGGCATAATCACCATTCCTTGAGCTAATATTTGCCACTGCCTCATACCTCACAGCTGATCACTCCTGGGTAATGAGACAAGCTGGTCAGACACAAGGTGCACTTCTGAGAATCTGAGACTCAGGATGGAGTCGGTCATTGTTCAGAACATGGAATCTCATCCCAAAGGGAAGACCTAGTAGGTGACTCATGCTGTGAACACCCACAGGCGGCAATGTTACCTAAGACAAAATGTGGGGAAGTAGACCTTAAACTGAAGATGGAAGAAAGGCAACCAGCACAAGTGAGAATACTTTCTTAGTCTGGCCATGGGGGAGGCCTGTGTGAGAAACTCAGCCAATGATGAAGCTAACTGCTGTTTGCCCAAAAAGAAGTACACGGCTCTAAGTGGACTCCTTCTCCTTTCACAGGTCTCTGCCCTCAGAGACCAATGTGTACAAGGACTCAGGAGTAAGGACCTTTTGAAGGAAAAGCTATTGTTCCTTTTTACCAAGTCCCTGGCCACCTAACCACTGTGTCAGGTGTGAAGAGTATAGTCGGTGTGCAAGACAGGGGAGTTCCACCTCCCAACCTCTCAACCTCAGTCCCACCTCACCTGGGAAGTAAGACAGACAGACGTCCTTCCCAGTTAAAAGGAAGAGGAGGGGGGCCCGGTGTGATGGCGCAGTGGTTAAGGTCCTCGCCTTGCACATCCGGGATCCCATATGGTCACAGGTTCTAATCCCGGCAGCCCCGCTTCCCATCCAGCTCTCTGCTTATGGCCTGGGAAAGCAGTCGAGGACGACCCAAAGCTTTGGGACCCTGCACCCGCGTGGGAGACCCGGAAGAGGCTCCTGGCTTCGGATCGGCATAGTATGGGCCGTTGCGCTCACTTGGGGAGTGACACATTGGACGGAAGATCTTCCTCTGTCTCTCCTCTCTGTATATCCGCCTTTCCAATAAAATAAATAAATAAATAAATCTTTAAAAAAAAAAAAGGCAAAGGAGGGGAGCTGGCAGAGGGTGGATGGAGTTGCAGCAAGTTTCATTTTGGGTTTGCTCTTGCTTTCCAGGCTGAGCCGTACCCTCCTCCCTCAGCATAAGGGCGGCGCTGAGGGACCAATGGCATCCCAGTGATGTGTGCTCCATCGGGCCCGCCCTCTGCTCGGAACACAGCCCTCTGGCCAAAGGAAGCAACGCAGAAACCAGGGCCATCCTTCCGATGCTGCTGTGTTGTTGCACACAGAGCCCCGTTCAGACCCTCTCCCGTACCAGCCTGTGCGGTAGAGTCCCTTGGTACCCAGTGCCAGGTTTGCTAAGCCCCAAGGGAGGTTTGAATGAGTATTTACAATGAACTGATACTTACCCCTGTCATTTTTAAGAGACAATGCCATGTAAACTAGCTTGATAAAAAAGCAGTCCCTGTATGGGCTGACAGATTTAGCCACAGTTAATGTATCAAGTCAACACGGAACACTGCTGTAACTACTAAATTTCAAATTCATAAGCATAGTACCCTTTTTTCTCATGAACTGTTATGTCAGCCTCAGGAAGCAAATATCATGCTTATCGCTGTGGTTGACTGGGAGATGAGGGAAATGAAGCAAAAGACCACTGTTGGAAATACCACTGTGATTTTGTTATTTATCTATTTTTAGTTTCTAAGAACTGGACATGTCTAAAGTCATTAGCATTATTCTAATAGCAGTTTAAGCCCTTTCTAGAGAATCCTTCCATAGTATTTCATTTTTAAACAAACACTATTTATTTGGGCCCAGAGCAGTAGCCTGGTGGCTAAAGTTCTCACCTTCATGCTCCAGGATCCAACATGAGCACCAGTTCCTATCAGAGCTGCTCCCTGCTTGTGGCCTGGGAAAGCAGTAGAGGACAGCCCAAAGCCTTGGGACCCTGTACAGTGAGAGACCCAGAAGAAGCTCCACGCTCCTGGCTTCAGATCAGCTAAGCTCTGGCCATTTGAGCTACCTGAGGAATGAACCAACAGGTGGAAGATCTTTGTCTCTATAAGTCTGAGTTTCCAATAAAAATAAGTAAATTAAAAAAAAAAACACTATTTATTTGAAAAGTAGAGTGACAGAGAGAGAGAGAGGAACAGACAGAGAAGAGAGACAGGGAGAGAGACAGGGAGAGAGAGGAAGAGAGGGACAAAAAGAAAAAGAGAAAGAAGGGAAGGAGAGAGAGATGGAGAGAGAAGGAGAAGCAGAGAGATAAAGAGAGGGAGAGAGAGAGAGCACCTTCGTGTGTTGGCCAAGCCTGGGCCCGGTCAAAGCCAAGAGGCCAGTATTCCAGCCACACCTACATGGACAGCAGGGAGCCACACAATTCTGAGATCTCCCACTGTTTATCCAAACATACTAGTAGCAAATCAGAAGCAAACAGCAAGGACTGTGAACAGCACTCTGATAGGGAATATTGGCAGTGCTGCAAGCAGTGGTTTAACCCACGTGCTACAAGGCTGGCTCCCGTGATATTTTAAGACCACCACTGCAAATCAAAATTGTTCTCAAATTTGGAAATTAGTCTGTGTGATGTAGAAGCCTCCAGTTGATTTTACATCTTTCCCAGTTTGGACTAGATAGTATTTATTCCTTATTTATTTATTATTTTTATATCAAAAAACAATCTTTTATAGCAGTGCCATTAAGACATATTAAATCTAATCAAGTAAATGATGTATTTTATGCATATGTTATTTTGCTACAAGCAAAATGAATAATTCAAAAATCCCTAAGTAATAAATGCTCTTCCATGTCACGTATTTCACCAGAGTGTCAGATTTTTTTCACAAAATGACTCCAAGTGTAAACAAAATCCTTTTGAGACAAGAACTAATGGCAATTTATTTGGTAGACTAGCATTTTCTGACAAACAAGTATGTCAACACCTCTTACATGGAATCAGTTTCATGTTTTTAGTTTTCCATTCTAGAAATAAACATGACAAGCCCCTTCAGTGCAGTAACCAGATGCTGTCCGACCGCAGGGTTTGGGGGTAATCACACTTATTTCATAATGAGAATTCTAATTCTATCTCCTCTCTGTCTTTCAGAGTAGCTGCCTCCTTGAGCAGAGGTTGGAGTGTAGGCTGGGGAGGCTCATCTTCCATTTACGTGGTTTCAATATTTTCATCTTGACACTTTCAACAGAACTTGGTAACTGCTTTCTAAAAAAAATCATAAGGAAACTCTGGCTCTTCCTATGTCAGCATGCTGCTCTGACTCAAGTTCATGGCTAGCAGCTTAGTTAGCTGTCAGCCTCCAAAGAAACATGTTTCTGCAGCCTTGATTGGTCCCCGCCACTGGGGATATTTGGCTTGTGGCGCTTGTGGTACCTGCACCTTGTCTCGGCTCAGTTCCTCCTGAACTTTAAGGCCCTGAAGAGCACAGTTAGGGGGTACAGCACCGTCAATTGTACCATTAGTACCATCACCGACTGGTCCCAGGCAAGCAGAGATAAACGCTCACCAATGGGAAAGCACCTGTCCATCTGTCTGGGCTGAACCCATGGAAATTGGGACACTTGGATAGGAAGAGGGTGGCCAGCCCCGAACGCCTGGAATCCTGTGCGAGTCAAGAAAGAAGGCAGCCAGAACACGCACTCAAATCTTCTTTTACCTTAGACCAATTTTAATGACTGAGTGCAGTTTTTCTCAATTAAAAAAGAAGAAAACATTCCAGCTAATCCATTCAAGATAAATTCTGCAAGATTCCCCATTCCACTTCCTACCGTCTTCATTATCTCTGCTTCCCCATTATGATACTAATAATTTGATTTCCTCATATTTTCATCTTGCTACAGATAAATGTTTTTGGCCTCTGGCCCATCTCCTCCTCACTTCGATTTTAATAAGAAATGATAACTCTGATAAGGGCATGCAGCTGTATCTGCGCCTTCACCCACTTCCATCATGCCAAAGCCAGAGGCTGCCTGAAGGTCCCCAGTGGGTCAGACACTACCTGGGGAGGGGGTCAGTGTGAATGTGACAACTGGGGGGCCCACAGACAAATGAAAGAGGAAAACTCAGCAAAGACAGAGAGGGGAACCAGGCGACAGGGGAATAAAATATGGACAACGGGCACAGCAAGACCGCAGAGTCAATGGGAATAAATAAATAAGGAACCACACTGCCATTAAAACAGTAGCCACATATGAGGGAAGAAAAACCCCTCGGAAAGCAGAATAGGAAAAGCGTTGTTACATAGAGAGATGGAGGAGGGACAGGACCAAAGGCAAAATAGCTGAAACTGACAGAGAAAAGAATACTAATTACCACGTGTAAAAGTGTAAGGGAGACCCTGGGGGATCGGGGACAAGCAGCAGTAGAAAAAAACAAAAAAAAAAAAAAAAGAAAGAAAAGAAAGAAAGAAAGAAAGCATGATAGAGACCTCGGCCACTGCTGTAACAAGGAAAACAAAACGTGTTCCAAGTCATTGTTTCCCAGGGGCAGAGGGAGGATGGCATGGCAGGGCATCTTCTGTGCGCCACTGGGCATCCCTGAAGCTTCCGCGGCCCCGGGGCGGGCAGAGACCCCACCCCACCTCGTACCCTTTTGTTCACCCAAACGGAGACTGTGGCATTCCCAACGCAGCACCTATACAATCCTGCCATGCTGGGGAATCTAACTTTTGGAGATTTCCTTTAAGGGCTGAGGAATCTCAAGCTGCAGTCTGGGGCAGCCCTTTAGATAAGCAGAGTGGTGGTCGTTTCTTGGGTGGATGGGGTAGTTCTCTCCCAAGTTCTGGGCTCCAACACTGGCCACTCCGCTCCCACCCCCACCAGATCCCCGAGGGGACAGGACAGGTGCTGTGGCAGCTTCCAGTCCTGCCTGCGGCACTTACGTCGAGGAAGATGGACATGCCCTTGGACAGCCGCAGGGCAGAGCTCAGCTCCTCAGAGTTGTTGGAGGACGGAGATGTCTCCCGGGAATCCTCCATGGTCCGGGGCCGGCCGGGAGCCGGGCTGGGCTGGGCGGACCCTTGGGTTTGGCCAAGGGCGAGGCCGAGCTGCTGCCTCCGAGCGCCTCCGGCTGCGAGTGGGTGTGCGCTGCCTGGCGCGCTCGGAGCTCGGTCTCCCCGCCCTCTCCCCGGCCTCCGCGCTCCCGCACTGCTCGCTCTCACGCCCTGCTCACGGCGCCGGGGCCATCTCATCCCCGCACCATGCAACGCGCGGCACCCCTGATGAGGACCTGCGCGCCCCAGAACACCTGCAGAGGGGAGGGAGCGTTCCGGCAGAGACCGGCGCAGCAACAGCCAAGTAAGGAAGGACCGCGACCCCTAGGCTTGCTCCCTAAGGGTGGACACCCTAAGTCCCTGGTGGCTGGCGGAGGTTTTGTGTGCCTTGCTTTAGCTCAGAGCAGGTCCCCCTGTCCATCCCTCCCCGAAGGCGAGTGAGTTCTTGACTCCACCAGGGAGGAACTGCTGCTCTCCACTGGGGTTGAAGCCCTGACTCCGAATCTGCCTGACTCTTGGGATGTCTTGCAATGTAGCACGTTCCTAAGACTAAAGGCCCCGATTTTCCTCATCCGCGAAGTGGTCACAGCCTCAAAGGGTTGGAGTCCTGCTTGGAGTCATGCTGTGCACAGACAGGGATACGAACTCCACGTAGAGTAGGCATCCAGAAAGTTCCATTTGGAAAGGTCTAGCCCTGGTGACTATCTGGGGACTCCCAAATAAGATGAAAAATGAACTAAAAATTTAAGATGATCCTTTTTAAAAATGGGTTTAGACGAACTGTTTAACCATTGAGAGATGCTGGGCGGGCTGCCGTAATGGCAAGTTGAGTTCATCTTTCATCAGGTGGCAAGTCCCTTGTTTCCTGACATCCAGAAAGGTGTGGGTGAGGCTGTTGCCAGGTGGTGCATGGCTTACAGAGCGGACCCCCGTGGCACATTGAGGCAAACAGCAGGGAAACTTGTCCAAACAAAATTGCCTGCAGGGCGATCCAGCCTCCGTTGTGGCCTCCCAAGAAAGCAGGACGTGTTATTTCTTAAAAAAAAAAAAAAAAAAAAAAAAAACAGTCCAAGACAACCAAGATGTGGCACCCCATGCTACTGCCCAAGGCTCCTGAAACATGCTGTGAATTTCAAAGGAGGAATACCTGCTAATGTGGCTACAGAGACCAAGAAAGCGTTAGTGATCTGAAAGATGATCTTAAAAATAAGTAACTTCACTGCAGTGGATAAAAAAATGAAAAGGAAAAAGGTCTGCCCGCAGAGAAGACAGCCTGAGTAAGGGTGTGGCACCAGAGAAGCAAGAGGGAGCTGAGCTGCCAGAGTCCCCACTGGGAGATCTGTGAGCAGAAACTATCCAGGGTCCTAACCCAGTCTCCCTGAATTTCCCTGTCAAAATAAGAAGCCCCATGTCAAACTAAGAGCCCCTGTGGCCTGAGGATTCACACAGAGCAAGAGGATGGTAAAAATGAGGCTCCTCGAGCACAAAATGTAAGGAAGGCAGTGCAGGCAGGCCCTCAGCCTGCAAGATGTGCAGATCCATCATCAGCCCCGCCCTGGTGGTCAGTGCGCAGACAACACCAGTCCCAGTGTTAAGTCCAGATCTGGCTGTGTGTTGGAATCATGCGTGGTGCATGTTAGCAAATTTATGTATTTGAAAGGCAGAGAGAATCGGCCATCAGCTATGCCCTCAACAGCCAGAGCTGGGTCGGATAAAAGCCAAGAGCCAAGAGCTCAATCCAGGTTTCCCATATGGGTGGCAGGGATTCAACTCCTTAAGGCGTTGCTTGCTGCCTCCCAGGATTCAGTGTGGTAGGAAGCTTGAATGGGAAATACAGCCAGGACTTGCACCCAGATACTGCAGTATGTAATGGTGTCGTAACCAACCTTCCAAACACCCACTTGGGCAACAGATTTACTGATGCCCTTTCTATAGAGAAGTGGATCCTCTCCCTTGAACATGAGATTGTGACTGCATCAGAGAATAGACTGAAGCAAAAGTGACACCACATGCTTTCTGAGGCTAGACTAAAAATGCAGACTGTGATGATCCCATTTCCGCAGCTTCCAGCCACAAGTCTGACCATCATTAGCCACCACGCACTCAGCGTCCAGGGCATATAGAAAGGCATATACAGGTGCCTAGTTGGCACGCGCAGCCGAACAGAGCCGCAGGATATCTCATTCTCTCAGCCTAAGCAGCAGAAACACCAAAGGAGCCTCCGAGGGATGCAGAGATGACCCAAGGTAGCCACAGGAGGTCTCCCAGTCCAGACATCAAGGAGCACAGAACCTGCCTCAGTTCTGGGCCTGGCGAGAACGTCTGATCCACAGAGCACAGGAAAAGCTTCACTGCTTTACAAAAGAAAAAAAATAACCCTTGGTTTGACTTTTAACAATAGATAACTAAAATAAGAAGCTTTTAAAAGCCCATGAACATTTATTTAAAACCTCAGTGCCTCTGCTTCATCCCCAGATTGATATTCAAGCAGCATATGGTGGTCCCTGGGCATAATTAAAGATTTCATTTCCTTGAAAGTCAGAGTTATACAAAGGAAAACACACACACACACACACACACACACACACACACACACACACACGAGAGAGAGAGAGAGAGAGAGAGAGAGAGAGAGAGAGAGAGAGAGAGAGAGAGAGATTGAGAGAGGGAGGAAAGAGAGAACTTTCGTCTGAAAATTCCCTCTTCATATAGCTTCAGTGGCCAGGGCTGTGTCAGGCTGAAGTTAGGTGCCTGGAGCTTCTTATGGGTCTCCAGTTGGATGGCAGGGGCCCTCCTGTGCTGCTTTCCTCAGTGCGTTAGCACGGATCTGGATTGAAAGTAGAGCAGCCAGAACATGAACTGCAATCCATCTTGACTGGTGATGTCACAGATGATGGCTTTGCGCATTATGCCTGAGTGCTGGCATCCAGACCATAATATTATTTAAAAGACAATTTGAGAGGGAGACAGAGAAAAATAAGAGAGAGAGAGAGAGAGAGAGAGAGAATGAGACAAAGTGACAGAGCTTCTACCCTGTGGTTAACCACCCAAATGTCTACAATGTCCAGGGCAAAGCAAGGAGGTAGGAGCCTAGATGTCTCGTTCAGGTGATAGAAACCCAGTGATTTCAGCCATGACTTCATCTAACAGATCTCCATTAGCAGGAAGCTGAAGTCGGGAGTCAGAGGCAGGAGGTAAACCCTGATACTGGAACGAGGACATTTTCACCACTAGAGTAAATGCCCACACCTGGGTATACAGTTTTTAAAAACTTTCTAGGTGATTTTGATGTGTAATAAAGATTAAGAACCACTGAATTTGACCATATTCTACATCAAATACATGGGAAAATTAATTAACTATCATCAGAAGAGCAGGGATTACAGGATGGAGAGCTGTGAAGTTCAAGGACTAGAATTCTGGACTTAATTAGCTAGAGATGAGAGATGTCAGACTTAATCAGGGAAGAGATATTGATTCAGGTGTGCTTTGGAACTGTTAACTGGCATCTTTATGTACTTCTGCCTTATTGACTATGATTTTCCTTATTGGAACTACTAAAAGAGACCCTATCCTGTGACCGGGGCTTATCAAAGAAAAATCATTAACAAAAGAAAAACTAGACTAACCACTCCATCAGCTAAATATTCAACAGTAAGTTACTGAGTTTACAAAAATATCTTATTTGTGCATGGAGCATTGACTATGATTCTTTTGCAGCAAGTGCAATGTCAGTCTGTCCCTTTTGAATTGTGCAGATCCATTCAGCCCTTAAATTCAGTCTCACAAGATGTTTTTGTTAATCCAAATGCAGAAAAAACAAGTGGTGAAGAATTTCTCTGCTTGAAAATGAAGAACGGGAGAATAATCTTTAATCATCATTCAATACCAGGGAGCAGTTCATAGCATGTAGGTAAAAACATTCCTTTTTTTGTACCAGCAAGGAATGACATTTTCTGCACCTGTGGTTTGGCATATTTCTTCTAATGGTCTACCAAGAATGATACATACATTAAACAATGAGCTGGTCATTATTTATTTCTCTAATTTCTGCATGAACATCCTGATACCATAGCTGACATCTCTTTTTCATGGAAATGTGATGTTCGTGGAAAGCTCCACTAGAAACGGATGGCAATTAGATTCTCATTCACAGCCAAATTCAATAGGCTCTGTAAAGTGGTAACCACACGTATTTTTAGTTTTCTTTTTATCTAGAGAGAGTGCATTTTTGAAAACTGTTTTCACACATCATTTTCCTGACACACAGATGCTGCCCTGCTCTGCCCAGCGTCAGTTGCAAGCAGAAACCAGCAGATTTGGGGGGAGGAAATGCATCTTTTTATCAACCTGCTTTGATAAGGGCCAGAGGCGGAAGGGTGGGGGAAGATGCAATCCTAGATTCCAGCTCTCGGGCTTCCTGTGACAAGACTTTGAGGAAAGGAATTTCTAGCGTTTCAGGAGAAGGTAATCACGAGGGACATATTGTACTCCCACCCACCCTGCCTCGCGGAGGCCCTCTCTAAACAATCCCAGATAACCACGAGTCTGCCTTGTTTGTATTTTAAATTCTAGGGAAGACTGCCCTTTTGAGCAATGACTCAGAATCTCTCAGCTAGAGTAGTGGACATTTTCCTTGCTCCTGCAGCTGATATCCAAAATGCTTCTCCTGTAGGGGTTCTGTCCGTGTGGTGTGTGTTCATAGCAGGGGCCAGGATCTACCCCCTTGGTGAGAAGGAACATAGTGCTGCTCCGTGTCTCCTGGAAGCAGCACTAGAGGATGAGACTTGGCTCATCCAATGGGCTACTTCACTAGGACTTTAAATCTATGTCAAGGGATATGAAGAGAAACGTGTGAATGGCAATGGATGCTCACAAAGCAGTCCAGTGGCCACAGCCCCAGCAGAGCCCTGAAGCCAGCTTCACCCAACTTGATAAAGGATCTTTGGTTTCCATAACCATGTCCTCCCAGTTTTTCCTCCAAGTTTTCCTATCAACTTCTGAAATACCTAGTGTTCCTAGGTATTTCTTTCTTTTCTGTTTTACCTTAGAGTAAGAGACCCTTTGTTTCTCATGCTTAAACTCTAGGTAATAAATTCAGATGAAATTCCTCCTGTTTTAAAGGGCCATGTATTAAGTTAGTGGAAAAAATAATGGATATAAGAAAATCAAATTCCCTTCAGACATTTGTTGATTGCCTGATTTATTCCACATGGCTAACAGGCATGGCAGGGGAAATGATGAAAAAGAATGATCCTTGCTTTTGC